ACCTGGATGAAAGTTTATTGGGGATATGCAACAGTGTAGAGTTGAGGTTAAAATCATATCAGACATGAGCTTATAGAATGGTGAAGCAGGTTTGTAGGCCTCCTCTTGTTCTTTATTCTTTCCCTTACTAATCTTCCATAAGTGAAACTTATTTCTCATTCCTTTAGATAACAAATTAGCATCCACTGAATTCCCAAGTACTAGGTCATGCATTGTTTTAAAAGTGTATTCTTGGAATGTGTACGTCACTGGCTAGACCAGCATTCATTACGCATCTGTAATTGCATCTGAGAAGATGATGGTGAGCTACCTTATGGGTCCACTGCAGTTCATGTGGTGTAAATAAGCCAAAAGTGCTGATAAGGATTTTGAACTAATGACAGTGAAGGAACAGCAATTATAATGGCAGGTGATACATACATCGTTCATTGGTGGTGGAGGCAGTGAATGTTTAAATTGCTAATCCAGTGAGCTGCTTTGTCCTGGAAGATGTTGAGCTTCTTGAGTGTTGTCACAGCTGGACACATCTAGGCAATTGGAGAGTATTCCATTATACTCCTGGTTTGCACCTTGTAGATGGTGGAGAGGAACTGAGGAGATGGGAACTGAGTTACATGCCACAAAGTTCTTAGCCTTGTACCTCCTTCTGTAACCACAATATTTATATGGCTGTTTGAGTTCAGTTTTTAATCAACGTTAACTCTCAGGAAGTTGATAGTGGAGGAATTGAACATCAAGTGGAAATAGTTAGATTCTCTCCCGACTATCATTATTGCTCAGCACTTGTGATGCAAAAGTTACTTGCCATTTATCAGTCCAAGCCTGGATGTTGTCCAAGACTTGTGGCCAAGGGACATGGATTGCTTCAGCATTTGAGGAGTTGCAAACAGTGCTGAACATTGTGCATTCAGCAGTGAATTTCCCCATTTATCATATTATGACGCAGGGAAGCTTGTTGATGAAGCAGCTGAAAATAATTTTGTCTGGGACACCACACTGAGGAGCTCATCCCTAACTCTAAAGCAGAAGCCCCATGTTTAAATCCTGTCTGTTCCTGGGCTGGGCAGTAACATCTCAGAACAGGCTGATTTAGAAAATAATAAGACCAGGAGCCAAGTGGCATTGGCAGAACCCAAACTGAACATCAGTGATCAGGTTATTTACTGAACAAGGAGTGCTTTTATAACACTATCAACAATCCTTCTGATCACTTCCTGGTAATTGAGACCGGACTGTTGCGACAGTAATTGGCTGGGTTGGTTTTTTAATGTTTTATATAGTCAATACATATAAGGGCGATTTTCCACATCTTTGGTTAAATTGTGATATTAGCTTAATGTTGGCCCAGACAAAGCTGTGAATATAATAATTGTATACATTGGTGACCTCCAATAACCGTCTGTTGGATCTTTCAATACCACATTACCACATCTTAGTTTTTTATGTTGAGAAGGATTTAATTAGCATTGACACATAAAGTGAAAATGCCCTTCTGGAGGCAAAACTCACAACAGATGCTGCTGCTCAAAGCATCTGCTGCTTTGTAATGGCACCTGACGCTTACCATCTGCGTGGAGAGCACCATTGCTGGACTTCCTCTCTCCAAGGAGAAGTGGTCACAGTTGTCAATGGTTCTACTGGAGACTATCTGTGGAATTACAACAAGGTAAACCAGGTGGACCTCATAAAATATGAGTTCCCTGATTGGGGCTGTTTACCTGGTTGATCCTGCTTGTCTCAAAGATTAAGCCATGCATGTCTAAGTACACATATCTGGTACAGTGAAACTGCAAATGGCTCGTTAAATTAGTTATGTTTCCTTTGATCGCTCCAAATGTTACTTGGATAACTGTAGCAATTCTAGAGCAAATTCATGCAAATGATTGCTGACCCACATAGGGATACATGCACTTATCAGACCTGATTGGGGCTGTTAATCTGTTCCAATCAGGGAGACCTGGCTGACAGATTAGAACTGAAGAGTCAGACATCCTGACTCTCTGAGACCTTGCTCTGAAGGAGCTGGATCAGCATCAAGGACTTTCCACATGTAAATAAAAGGTGACTTGGTGATGGATGGGATACCGGCCTCTGTGGAGTTATTTCACTATCCCCTTTTAAATATTGAAACTGTGTGCATGTGAGGGCCTAAGACACTGCATCTTTATTAGTTTTCTCTGTGTTAGCAGGAAATAAAACTTCTGTCTTTCACGTGAGAAGATCTTGTAGTTGGGTCATTGCTTACAGTGAAACAGAGAACTACTTATTAATTGGAAAAAGATATAGCAATGCGCTAAAAAGAACTTAAACCTTTGTTATAAACAAACAGGTCAATAGAAAAGAGGGGAGGCAATTCACTCCTCCTCACCAGTTTTTAACAAAATAGCTATTTTCCATTGACGCTTGAACAAATGATTGAATCATAGTGATTAAAAAATGTAGATATGCCACAGAAAGATATGGAATAATTGTCAGGAAAAGCTATAGAAATGGAATTGGGTCTGAGAAATTTAGCAGAATTTAAGGTATTATCATTTTAGATTTAAGTAGGAGTTGCTTCCATTACTATTCTAGTGATTGGTTGGTGTACCTTCTCAATCAAAATAAAATACCAGTGTGAGAGAATACAAGAACAAATCTGCCTTTTAATTTCTATTGAAAGCAAGTTAAATAACAGCCATCAAAATGTCTGTACATAGTTGAGATTATTGAAAGGACCAGAATGTTGAAACACTGACAATGATTGTTGAATCCTTCTTTTAAAATAAAATGTAAATTGAGATGTGGGATTGGACAGGACCTTTTTCAAGGAGAGAGTGAGAAAGATAAAACTGGAGACTTACAGGCCGGTTAGTTAAACAACATGTTGATAAACTGTAAGGAGAGAAATCAAATTAGCCATGGTTTATAGCATGTCTGCTTTTCAATTTCTTTTTAAGTAAATGAAGGTAAAGTCAGGCAGAATGCATTTTAGACAATCAGTCAAAATTAAATCTAACCCACAGTGTTTGGGTGCATTGGTGTTACTAAGGTAGTGATCAGTGTCCATTCATATATAGAGACTTGGGTGTACCTGTACATTGCTCATTTTAAGCAAACAAGCAGTTCAGGAGATAAATGGTACGTTGGCCATCATTGTTAGAGGGTTTGAATACAAAAGCTATGAAGTTTTGGTGCAGCTGTACAGGGCCTTGATGAGACCATACCTAAAGTATTGTATTCAGTTTTGGTCTCTTTACCCAAGAAAAGACATATGTGCCACAGAATGATTGCAGCAAAGGTTCACCAGACTGATGCAAGGCTCGTCAGACAAAGATAGATCAGGGTGACCAAGCCTGGATTCACTGGAGTTTAGAAGAATGAGAGGGGATTTCATTGAAACACAAACTTCTGACAGGGCTGGACAGACTGGCTGTAGGGATGATGCTTGCCCTAGTTGTGGGATTTCAGATCGAGGGGTCACAGTCTCAGAATACACTCTAGACCATTTTGGTTGTGAAATTTCTTCACTGAGGGCGTGGTGAACCCATGGAATTCTCTGTTACAGAAGTCTGTGGAGGCAGATCATTAAACATATTTAAGAAAGAAATGGATAGAATTTTAGAGCCTAAAGATGTCGAGGGGTATGGGGTCAGATCAGAACTATGACATTGAAATACAAGGTCAGCTATGATCGTATTGAACAAGGAACAGGCTTAAAAAAACTGGAGAAATTTTCAGCTTCACCACAAGAGAACGAATGTTATGAGATCATGTGAATCATATATTTTTGTGAATCATTCACATGCAACTCATCTGATTTTCATCCCTTTGAAAACAGGTGACTGATTTGCAAATGATCCACCCACACAATCATTTCCAGTCAAAAGACCTTGAGGCTGTCTCATGCATCTGTTGTGGTGAGTTGTAGGATTGCAGAGTATACACTTAGAACAAATTAAAGTAGCTCTGTACCTGAAGCAGGTATAATACTGCTTTACAAAACTGGGGTCCAGGAGTCAGTGAACCACTGTAAAATTCAGTTGTGAATGTGAATGCTCACGTAAAAATAGCTATAAAACGTTGTCAAAATAATCATCCTGTTTTACTCCTCCTGGTTCCAGAAAAATATTGTTTGTTGTGCCAAAGCCTGGCCTCACAACCTTTGGCTTCATGTCCCATGCCAACAACCTGAACCACCACTAGAAGCCCAACCTGAAAGTGGTTTGATTTTGGAGCCCTATCATATATTTCGGACCCAAACCAGCAAACTCTATTTGTTGCCTAAATTTTTCACAGCTTCCATAGAAATGAAACTTAATGCAGCTCACTATCCTGGTTGCACCAACTTATGTACTGAGAAATCTCACCGTTAACATGTTACCTGTTCAGGCCACAGTCTGTTTTTTCCATCTTAAATCTATTGTGGACAAAAGAAATCTGTGTTAATCTGCTGTCTGAAGCAACTCCTGATGGAACTCGCTATCACCTTCTCAAGGGCATTTGGAGATGGACAACAAATTCTGGCCTTGCCAGCGAAGATTACAATCCCATGAAAGGATAAAAAGTAGTGAAGATGAGATTGGCACGCAAAAGAAAAATGAACTTTGTCTCATCAATAAGGAAAGCTTTCTCAATGTGATATTTGTAGAAATTATGTTTTTGCTGAGAAACTGAATGCCACATTTACAAGTTTACAATTTATTTTTTTCAATCCACTTAGTTTCTGTTTAACTTTGAAAGTGTGCATGTTCTCCCTCATAGGCAAACAATGCAAGACAAGGAGCTTTCAGGCATATGTTAGCAATAGCAAAGCTTAGAGACCTTCACAAATGTTCACAAAGGTCTAAACCACCTAAAATCACACGGCTTACCAGATAAGTGCCCTAAAATATATAAAAAACATATTTATCAACATCTAATGCACAAGGAAATATTTTTATGATTTCATATGAAATTATTTTTCTTACATCTTATTGCGACATGGATCACTGACAACACTGATGTATAATTTGGTTTACCTGTTGCATTCTGTCCATGAATCAAGTCACTGACTACCAATAAAAGTAAGGGATATATCCACGCTGCTGCTCTCCCCATAGCGCTGGCTCCCTTGTACTTTTAGAAGAATGCTATTGTAGCCTTCATTTAACTTTCTTGAAGCAAGTGATTCAGTTTCAGTCTGTTAACAACCTTCAGTTGCTGCGAAAACTCCTCCCTCCTCTGGAATTTTTCTAGTTGTGGTTTCTTTCTTGACACATTTTTCCGGGTTAAGCAAACTTCTCGTATTTCAGAGGCAATCCTTTTAATACCAGGTTTTCTACCACTGCAGTAGATTTGGCATACTGATACTTTGTTATATATACTGAAAGCTTACAGGTAATATAGGATACTACACACATGATAATAGAAACAAATAATAAAACTTTGGAAAATATTTAAATATATATGATAAATAAGGAGCATGTTGATTTTAGACCACAAAGTGTTGGGTTTGTGGGAGTATGTTTGTAAAATATTAACATGGGGTATGGGAGAAATTTATGGAGCCTGCATCTATGACATGTGTGACCGTGGGGTGATTTAATTTAATGGAATGGGGAATTGTAACTTCCTGATGACAAGTGGAGATGCAATGATGAAGCCAGAGGAATTTTTGCAGCAAACCATGGCACATTCACATTTGTAATACATTTGGCTGCTGCGAATACTCATCAGAGCAAAACAATTTTTAACAAAAACAGAAGTTGCTGGAAAAGCTCAGCAGGTCTGGCAGCATCTGTGAAGAAAAAGATCAGAGTTAATGTTTCGGGACCGGTGACCTTTCCTCATAACTGCAGTGCATGAGAATCTTGTGGCATGTTTTCAGGGTCATTTGAAGATGCCTTGTATCTGTCGCTTTTTGCAGTTTCGGCAGTTTGTCTTCTTAAACTTTACGGCGCAAAGGAGGGGACAAAGAAAATGGTAGCCTACATAGAGGCTCAGGACTGGGAAAGATGAATTAGTGGTGAGTTTTGGAGTGGTATCACGGGCACAGAGGAGGAATCCAGGGGCAGACAGAGAATGGGGTTAGCAGGATGGCAGAGCCTACAGAGGGGAGACTAGATTCCTGGGGGTGGTCAGGGATGCTGGGGACAGTCATAGGTTCAAAAATTTGATTCGGTTTGTTATTGTCACATGTACCAAGATACAGTGAAAAGTATTGTTTTGCATGCTAACCAGACAAATCATACCTTATAATCATGTAAATCTCACATTTTTCAAGTAGGCATCTCTAAAACTCTGCATCCCATACCTCTCATTGGTAAAATTGCTAAAAGATAGCGAGTTGTTAGATAATTGGCAGTGTTAATCCCACTACTGATCTGTCAACAATTGATCGATCCCTTGGTAAGAAGTTCATCTGGGCATCTGGATGGGTACATGAATAGGAAGAGTTTACAGGGATATGGGCCAAATGCTGGCAAATGGGACTAGATTAATTTAGAGTATCTAGTCAGCATGGATGAGTTGGACTGAAGAGTCTGTTTCCATGCTGTACAACTCTATGATGCTACGTTCAGGGTTCTGAAGAAGGATCGCTAGACTCAAAACGTTACCTTTACTTTCTCTCCACAGGCCCGGCCAAACCTGCTGAGATTCAGATTGTTGGCATATACAGTTCTTTGTTTTAAGTATTTATTATTCTGAGGTGGGGAAAGGAAAAGGCAACTTTTAGTCCATATAGACTATTAGGCCTGTTATAATACTCACTAACAGAGTGAACATTAAATATTAACTCAAGTAAAGGGAAGTGTTACTGAGATATATCTTGTGACCCATCCACAACTCAGTGCCAAGTTTCTCATTTCACCTACTGAAAATAAAAAGTGCTGGAGATCACAGTGGGTCAGGTAGCATATACGAGCTGAAATGGCCCTGAACATAGGGCTGAATTTTCCCACCTCTGAATAATGTACGCAGTAGACAGTTAGTTGAGTGAATATGGAGATATTGGAAAAATTAGATTCTTGGTTTCAAGAAAATACATTCTGATTTTGCACCTGAAGTCTGAATGGAAAGCCAGTGAGGGGCAAGAAGCACATTTACATGCATTAACATCTCATTTAATTGGTCTTGCATCATTTATATGCTGTTTGCTATTTTCCCATTTGTTTGAGAGAAACCAGGTGGCAACAATTGATTTAAAAATATCGAAAACCTGTCACATTTTTCTCTTAAATCAATGTAATCATTTTATCCTGCTATTTAACCCTCAGAATACCTAAAAGTGGCTTGGATTAATTACTGCTGTAGTTGGGACTGCCAAATGCGATTCTCAATGGACACTTTTATTTGCTGAGCCCTGGAATATTGCCAGGATTTATATAAGCAACATTACCTTTATGATTGCTCTTAATGAATGCCATGTAGTACTTAGACTTTGTGTGAGTTCATCACTCTTTACCAAAATATCTGAAGCATTAGGAGGATATGTAGCCTTCCTCATCTTACTGATATCTTTCCAGGTAGCGCACAAGTTCCCGCCTCCAACACACCCCCTCCTCCTGGACACCACGCCAAGGCCTCCTACCGTCCCTCGACCTCTTCATCTCCAACTGCCACCAAGACATCGTCCCCGCCTCCCTAACCTGTTCTTCCTCCCACCTATCCCCTCGTCCCACCTCAAGCCACACCTCCATTTCCTACCTACTAACCTCATCCCGCCCCCTTGACCTGTCCGTCCTCCCTGAACTGACCCATCTCTTCCCTACTTCCCCACCTACACTCACCTTTACTGGCTCCATCCCTGCCTCTTTGACCTGTCTGTTTCCTCTCCACCTATCTTCTCCTCTATCCATCTTCTATCTGCCTCTCCCTCTCTCCCTATTTATTTCAGAACCTCCTTCCCCTCCCCCATTTCTGATGAAGTGTCTAGGCCCGAAACGTCAGCCTTCCTTCTCCTCTGATGCTGCTTGGCCTGCTGTGTTCATCCAGCTCTACACCTTGTTACCTCAGTTCTAACACTTCTTCCAGACAAGTATGCAGATGGGAACAGAATATATTTTTAACTTTAAATGCTAAAATTAACACAAATCTGTATCAATTATTAACTAATTTACCTTCTTAAGTCCCAGTTACAAGCAATTTTCCCTCCTTATCAGCATTTTGCCATGGCTAAGTGATCCCTCGCTCTGTGCACAGCTGCCAGCTTAATGGATGCAACAATCCATTGGGGCCAGAGCTGCATTCCACAAGGAAAAGGTCACAGACGTCTAAGGCCACCCCTACAACTTCTGCGAACCAACTGGAGGTGATCACTTCCAGTCCAAGACGCCCACGACTTTCTATACTCCATTCATTCTGATAGCTCTGTGAAGCCCTGACAGTCTCCTACCTCCTTCAGCATGACTCAGGGCTGCCAAACTTCAACAGCCTGCTCACCCTCTTTAGTCAGAACACGACTAGAAGGCCAGCTTGGACCAGGAAAATAATTCTCTGAATCTCATTCCCAGCAAACTTCCAGCCCAAGAGTCTGGAAGCAGAAGGTCACAAAGCTGAATTGCAGCTAGACCAGAGTAGCATATTGTGGAATGCCTTTACAGGACTTCAAGCAAACTTCTGGCTGAGTATGTTATTGTTGTACCATGTTCCCCTCTAAGTTTGGGAATTTGATTAAACTAGGGAATTCCGTTAGTGTGAATTTTTAAGTTTGAGTTTATAATTCACTAAGTTTTAAGCGGGCCTAAATCAAAGTAAGTATTAAGTCTGAGATAGTACGAATGGCAGATGCTGGAGAATCTGAGATAACAAGGTGTAAAGCTACATGAACGCTGCAGGCCAAGCAGCATCAGAGGAGCAGGAAAGCTGACATTTTGGGTCTAGACCCTTCTTCAGAAACGGGGGAGGGGAAGGGGATTCTGAGATAAATGGGGAGAGAGAGGGAGGCGGATAGAAGATGGATAAAGGAGAAGGTAGGTGGAGAGAAGACAGACAGGTCAAAGAGGTGGGGGTGGAGCCAGTAAAGGTGAGTGTAGATGGGGAGTTGAGGGGGGATAGGTCAGTCCAGGAAGGACGGACAGGTCAAGGGGGCGGGATGAGGTTAGTAGATGGAGATGGGGGTGCGGCTTGAGGTGGGAGGAGGGGATAGTTGGGAGGAAGAACAGGTTAGGGAGGCGGGGACGAGCTGGGCTGGTTTTGGGATGCAGTAGGGGGAGGGGAGATTTTGAAGCTTCTGAAGTCCACATTGATACCATTCCGCTGCAGGGTTCCCAAGCGAAATATGAAGTGCTGTTCCTGCAACCTTCGGGTGGCATCGTTGTGGCACTGCAGGAGGCCCAGGATGGACATGTCGTCTAAGGAGTGGGAGGGGGAGTTGAAATGGTTCGCGACTGGGAGGTGCAGTTGTTTGTTGGGAACCGAGCATAGGTGTTCTACAAGGCGGTCCCCAAGCCTCCGCTTGGTTTCCCCGATATAGAGGAGGCCACATCGGGAACAGCGGATACAGTATACCACATTAGCAGATGTGCAGGTGAACATCTGTTTGATGTGGAAAGTCTTCTTGGGGCCTAGGATGGGGGTGAGGAAGGAGGTGTAGGGGCAGGTGTAGCACTTCCTGCGGTTGCAGGGAAAAGTGCCGGGGGTGGTGGGGCTGGAGGGTAGTGTGGAGCAGACAAGGGAGTCACGGAGAGAGTGGTCCCTCCGGAAAGCAGATAAGGGCGGGGAGGGAAAAATGTCTTTGGTAGTGGCGTCAGATTGCAGATGGCGGAAGTGCCGGACAATGATGCATTGGATCCGGAGGTTGGTGGGGTGGTACGTGAGGACGAGGGGGATCCTGTTTTGGTTGTTATTGCTGGTAGGGGGTGTGAGGGATGAGTTGTGGGAAATGTGGGAGACTCTGTCAAGGGCGTTTTCGACCACTGTGGGGGGGAAGTTGCGGTCCTTGAAAAACGAGGACATCTGGGATGTCCGAGAGTGGAATGCCTCATCCTGGGAGCAGATGCGGCGGAGGTGAAGGAATTGTGAATAGGGGCTGGCATTTTTGCAGGAAAGTGGGTAGGAGGAGGTGTATTCTAGGTAGCTGTGGGAGTCGGTAGGCTCGAAATGGATATCGGTTTCCA